AGAACACAAACGAGAATAAGAAAAAAATCACCAGTTGTGAAATACTTAATAATGCTGCACACTTTGAGAGAGCAGCGAAGTCTTTTATTTTATTTTATTTTATTTATTTTTTGTTCTGTTTTCTTTTTTAGGTTCAGCTAAGCACTAAGTAAGCCAAGTGCTGTACGCTGTTCTTAGTCTCCCCTCCCCCTACCCTCTTGCACTTTGCACAATTAAAAAATTGGATTAGCGCTGCAGAAGCCAAGAAAGCAAAATAAATAAAACAGACCAACAGTTGAATAGTTGGCGGCTTCTTCTTCTTTTTGTGGATGCCTTTTGCAGCTGAAGCTGAAGCTGTATCTGAATCTGTAGCTGAAGTGTGGTTGTCTCTGTTGGCACATCAGCAGCACAGTCTGCGTCGCTGCCAGCGTCTGGGCAAAGATTACGCTGACAGATAATTAAAATTGTAACTACGTTTTGGGTGCAGTCGCTGACAGAAGTATGTGCACAAGCCGAGCAACCGATAAGTCGAAGGTACCCATTTAGAATTACTATATAACTTGTACATTTCTAGTATATTTTATATACAGAATATATATAATTAGATTTTTTTCACTGAAATAATTAAATATATTGAAGTCTACTTTGACTAAACCAACAGTCAAATTGCAAATGCTTGATAATCTATATACATTTTTTTCAGATTAATTAAGTCATAAAAAGAAAGATTATTTTAAATTGAATTTAAAAGTAAATTTAGTTCAAGTTAAGTTATCAAAATGTTGATCGCATAAAATCGAGTGACATACTGCCTTGAGCGACTGTAAAATACGGTTGCTGCTCGCTTAAAGTGTGTTTGTGTTTATAACTAAATAGAAGAGCTTTTTTAGTGACAGGTACTACGTACTTAGCGCAACAGCGTTCAAATGACGTTCACACTCTACCCTTTACCCTCCTCTTTCGCTATTTCTCTCTCTGGATAGCTTTTTTGTTTTGTTTTTATTCGCCATTATAAATTCCATAGCATTATTTGAACGTTAAAGTACGTAAAAGCAGGCAGATTTGCGCTCAGTGAGAAAAACTTCTACGCTGAGCTTCATGCTAATTGGAAAGACAGGCGACGGTATTTGGAGCAAAGTTTGCGCTTCTTTCTGTGATCAAATGAAGGTTCAAATTTTAGTAGGTTACGAGGCGAGAACAGATGCACTTTGTACTTGGCAATTGCAAAATGCAAAACTTTCCCAGCCACAAAAAATGAGATAGACAGAGAAAGAGAGATAGAGAGACGACTAAAGTGTTTGCAGCCGTAGGCAAGCCGCAATTTGGTTAATGGGTGAAAATAAATAATATTTTCTTGGTGCTCCCAAATCAGGAAAAAAAAAAAGATTTGCTTCCTTGTTGCTTTAACAACAACAACAACAAAAGAAGGAAGAGCAGGCAAGCGAAGAGCAGGAAACGGAGACTTGCAAGTCTTATTGCGAGATTTATTTGCACAATTCCGGTTTCTGGTAATTTTTTTTCGTTTTGTCCGTTTCATTTCAATTTTTTTGTTCACTCTTTCTCCTCTACTCCTGCAGAACGAACCTTTAATAGAGCTTCAATAGAGCGAGCGAGCAGGTGAGGGAGAGAGAGTGAGTGAGAGGGAGCGAGTGCATATGATAACAAGGCGAATGAGTTGACAAGAAGGAATCGCAAAGAAAACAACGACTAAAATCGATGACAGCTGTTTAAAACTGTCTCTTCTTCTTCAGCGACCTGTTCTTCTTCTTCTTGTCTTTGTTTTTTTCGCTTTCAGTGAAGAACTTTTGACACTGAGTTTTGAGCTTTGTGGCAGCTCCGTCTTCAAGTGTCGCCCACAGTGAAGCATTATAAATAAAGTCTTTAAACTTTAAGCACTTGAAAAACTATTCGCTTATTATTGTGATTGTCTTTTTTTTGCCCATTGACACTGACACAGTGACACGCAAAAAAAATCAATATTAAAATAAATTGCAATTAAAGATTTCAGCTGCTAATGTTGTTGACCAAATAGTGCCATACATATTTTATTTAATTTGTTGCCAGCAACATTTAAATCTTTGGCAGCGCTTTTTCATTTTATTTATTTTTTTACATTCACACGGTTAATTACCAATTTTTAAATTTGTGCTAGCAACTGAAGCAGTTTCAATAATTATTATGAACGTTGCCAATGACAGCCAGCAATGACAACAAGGAAGGAAACACACACAAAACACAGTAAAACAGGCGAGAGCGCGACGCGCGCAGCTGAGCGACTCGACACGACACTTACGACGCTACTCGAGACGAATGTTTGTCCAAACATGAGCGCGCTCGGCCATCAACTGAAAGCCACAAAATTGTCGTATAAGCTTATGGGGTCCCCACGCGACGACGAAGCGTTGAAAAATACAAGAAGAATAAGTGGAGAGCGAGCAAGACGTAAGGTGCTGCTGGTGGTGACTATAAACCCGCTCACTACGTTACGTTAGGCTGCTTGAGGCAGGTTGGAACGTTTGTCTTGTTTAGCTAGACTGTGGTGAATTTAACATTGCGTGTCTCTCGCTCTCGCTCTCCCTCTCTCTCTTTGTCTCTCTGTATTGCGTGTATTGTGGTCAGGTGAGTATGCGTTCGCTGCACCTACTCTAATAAGTGGTTCGCTGTGCTGTTTTTTTTTTGATTGAACGTGCAAAGCTAGTGCAACTGGGTAGCTCAGCCAGGCAACCTCTCTCTATAAATAGCTCAGAGTTAGCCAAAGAGGCGCGTGTGCCACAATTTAGTTTTATCGTTGATTGAGCGTTAGCCTATCATTAGCTGGACATTTGGCCCTCGCTTCAGCTATTTACTGCATGTGCTGCATATGTCCAAGTGAAGCCATTGAATTCCAATTGGGTTCACATTTCCATACAGCTGTGTTGTTCTTAATGGTTATTGAGTGAGGGCGTGGTGAGTTTACAAACTAAAAGGTGTGTGAGGGATTAGGAGAGGGGGCGATATGATATGCAAGTAAATTAGTACGAAATTCGATATGGGAAATTAAGATGGAGTAAACAAATACGTTAAATCACATGTAATATATGTTAATTTATTTTAAATATAAACAAATGTGAGCAATTGACTTTAATTTATTAAATACTGCTTTATCAGTTCATATTAAAAAATGTACTGTGGGAATTTCCAATCATAAACGAATTTAAGATTCACCATAAATGAAGATATAAACGAATGCGTATTGGTATTTATTTGCTCATAACTGATAATAGTACTTTGTAGGGTACAAAATAGCCTTGAGTATCAGCATCGAAAAAAGTTCAAAAGTGACTCACACAGAAAAAAGAAGAGTACAGAGAGAGAGAGAGAGAGAGAGGGAAAGAGAACAGACGCTGAGACAAACTCTTATGGCTGGTTGATGTCATTAACAGGCAATTGCCTGCCTTACACACGAATACATTATATTTTTATTTTCATCTATTTATTTTGTTTGCAATTGGCATTGGCAGCAGTGAAATGAACAAAATGTCTTTTATATTGTAATTTGAGTTTTTGGCTTTTACGCATCAATGCTAAATGGCTATTTTCGGCTCTATGATTTGTATGACTAATCAGCCGAAGAAAAGGGCGGGGGAGGGGTAGCTTATACGTTCTGTGTGATGTTAAGTTGAATGCACTGTCGATTATCTTGTTTTATGTACGGCGAGTGTTTTTATGGTCGCATTGGTCGCACAAAGTCAACAATTGCACAAGAGCGTAAATAAAATAAATATTTGCAAGCGATTCGAAGCTTTTCTTTTGTTTTTCGTTTCGTTTTTGTTTTCGCCGCCAAGACGAACTTAATGAAGTGCTTTTGCTGTCGGCGCCGCTATCAATGTCAGCGTCGGCGCTAACCTTTGTCGGCTTTACAGTTAAAGCTCAGCTCGTCTCTTACACGATTTGGTCTTTATGTGCATGCTAATTGCTTTATGACCCATTTCAGTCACAACTTTGACGCCCTCGAAAGTGGAGCGCCGCAAGAACATCAGAATATGAGAACACAATTCGAAATAAAAGTCGCTGCATGTAATTAAGATATTCGTTGTTGTATTTTTAACTTCTTCCGCATTTCGTGCTGCGCTTTGTCAGCATCCTGCTCAATGTGAGTCACACGAGCGAAGACGAAATCTCGCCAAATATGCTGATGGAGCATCAGCGATAGCATTTTGGGTGTGTGTGTGTGTCTTTCTCGACGTGCCCCTTTTGCAACAAGCCCTTTCCACAAGCAGCCACATATTTCCCATATCCTACCTATCGCCGAAAGCTTAACGCCCCAGCTGCATTTTGAGCGATATTTGAAGGCAATGAAAGCTCACCTGAAATTCGCATGCACTACTTCTAGTGGAAGGGTTCTCCATAGAAGAAATACTTGTTATTATTATGACTAAATTTATAAGTTCTAGTTGACAAACGACACAAAAGATTAATGAGTTAAATTTATGAATCACTAAATAAAATAAAATTATATGTGTGTGGCAATAAATTGAATACAATTAGTTATATTCAAGTTTAATTTATGGATTTTCAGTTAAATACAATTTTTAGATGTGTGGACATAAATTAAATATAACAAGTCTATCTTTAATCATTGTAATGCACTGACTTTCAAATGTTTATATTTTCAAAGAACACTTTTAAATAAATAAAACTAATCTATATTATTAAAAAATGTTACCATAAATATCTTAATTCCAGTTCTGCAAGGGACTGCACTATTCAATATAATTGAAAACCCACTCAAAGTGCTCATTTTGAAAAAGTGACAAACCGGAAGACATAGCTAATATGCTCGCACGCCAGTTAGGGTGTTAATACATTGGTAAATAAACACAAGCGTGGGCGTCTTTGGCGACGAGCAGTCGATAACGTAACGAGCCGGGCAGGTTGCCAAAATTGTTGCAATACGCTGAGGGTGTGTGCGAGCACACGAGTGCAACAGAGAGGGAAATACATATATAAGAAAAATGAGAAAAACAAATAATGCCACTTACCCTGCGCTGCTGCGGCTGCTGCTTCTGCTGCTCATAAAAGTTGCTGTTGCTGCCATTCTCTAGCCATTCCACATCGCTGCAAGATCAACAGAGAGAGAGATAGAGTAAAAGAGAGTCGAAACAACCACATGTTGAGCAAATTCACCACACAACAAACGAAAGCAAGAGAAATCTTGCTCTCGTTGCTCTCTTTGTACTCACCGCTGCATGCGCTGTATGACCGGCAGCTGAGCGGTGCTATCGTGAATGCGCACCTGATCCGGCGTAATCTCTTCGAGCAGAAACATATTCTTGCTCGCCAATGGCAGCGCCGACGCAGACGCATCGCTCTCCACGGCGCCGCTATAAAAGAGCGGACTGAGCGGTCGGCATGCGCCACCCAAAAGCTCATCGATATTCTGATGACGCGATATGAAAAGCTTATCGCCCACACGTGGTGGGTTATATGAATAGCGTGGTGGCGGCGCTGGCGCTGACGTCGACTGCGACTGCGACTGCGACGGCGGCATTGCCATTTGAACTTTTGACATTGGAATGTTATCGTAGGGCGATTCGCAGAGCTTTTGCTGGGGCTCCACTGGCACTGGGCTGGCACATTGGCCCAGGGGAGGGGGACGCACCGAGTATGTGAAATTGAAGGAGCTGTTCAGCAAATCTTGCTGATCCTCATGATCCACTTCGTCGGTGGCTGGTTGAGGCAGCTCCTTGTTCTTCGGTTCCTCGTCCAGCAGCCACCAGGCTCGCTCGCCCGACTCCCAATGCTTGATGATGCGTGGCGGTGGCGTTGGTGGCTTCACTGGCGGTGGCTCGTTCTCCTTCTCCTCCTGCCACCAGGCACGTTCCCCGCTCTCCACGCGCTGCACATTGAACAGCTTTTTGGCGGGTCCCGTTTGCCACCAGGGCGGGGCACTCTCGCCAGAGTGGCTAGAGGAGGAGCAGTTCTTGGCGCGTTCAGTGCTGCTGGGCAGCTTTATGGTCACCTCCACATGTGGCTCATTGTTATTGACATCCTCGTGGTAGCCATTTTGTTTGGACTGCTGCTGCTGCTGCTCCTGTTGCTCCTGTTGCTCCTGTTGCTCCTCCAGCCACCAGGCATCCTGTTCCGGCGAGATGTGACTCCTGGGCATACGTTTAATCTCCTCGCTGTGCTCCGACTCCTGACCACATCCGTGGCCATTGATGAGATTTGCCTGATTCTCGTTGCTCTCGTCTAGATTATCATCCTTGCTGCTGCTCCACCAGCCACCTGTTCTGCTGTTCTGCTCCTCTGTCGCAGCACTCACATCCTCATGCTCATCATCCAGCGGATTGAGCGTTTCCTCCGCCAGGGTATCATCCTCGTCAGCAGTTGCATCCTGTCGCAGCCACCACGCGTGGTCATCACCCGAATCGATGTGCCTCAATCTGTAGGGCATCTCGCTGCGATTGTTGTAATCCAAAGCGGAGGCTGTATTTATTTGCAGACTTGTGTCCTGCCACCAGCTGGGCTCCTCGGTATCCGGGTCCTGTTCACGCGTCGTCAGACTCTCTGTCGTCGTTGTGGTGTCCTTGATGCCGTTGCTGGGACTCGTCGTCGTCGTGGTCGTCGTCGTTGTTGTCTCCTTGGGACAATGGGTGCTGGAACTGTTGTTGCTACTTGGGGGTATCGTTGTCGTTGTCGATATCGTTGTGCTTGGTGCTTGATGCATCCGCAAAGGATTCACCTCGCTCGTTTCGTTCGTTTGCGTGTCTAACGCTAGACTGATCTGTGTGCCGCTCAACGATGGCTGCATTTCGGCCTCGCTGCCGGCGCTGCTCTCGGAGCTTTCGAGGAAGATCGGCTCACTATTTGCGTCCGTCTGACGAGTGGCAAAAAAATTCGATACATCCGAGAGCTTCTTCAGACGCGATTGCTGCTGCTGCTGCTGATGTTGCTGATGCTGGTGCTTGGTCCGATTCAGTGAGTCAGTGGAGGCTTCGGTCTTGTGGCTATTTTGGTGTTCCTCATTTAATTGGCTGTCACCTGCCTGACTGCTGACCTTCGCCTCTGTTTCTCTCTCTCTCTCTCGCTCTGCCTCTGCCTCGGCCTCTGTCTCTGCCACTGCTTTATCTTTATCTTTATCGTTCTGCCTCTCTTTGTGCTTCTCTTTCTGTTGACTGCCGTTGACTGTGGCCTTTTTCTTGCTCTGCTTTTTACTGCTCTTGCCCCGCTGCTCGCTGTCCGACGAGGAGCAGGCGGATGTCGTCGAGCAGCTGCTTCCTCCACTTGCCCCACTGCTGGGCGCGCAGGATTTGTGTGCTTTTAGCTGGCGATTGGCAGACGTTGTTGCCTTGCCATTTGTCAGCTTGTTTGTTTTGCGATTGGAGGCGTTGCTACCCTCGGAGCCAGCGCTGGGCGAGCGTTCCTGTTGCTGTTCCTCGGACTCGGCGCCGCTGCTGGGCGTGCGAGATTTCCTTGGCCGATCGGTGGGTCCCACATTCAGCGAGCTCTTGCGAAAGTCCTTGTTGGGCCAGGGCCACTTGGCCAAGGAGCTGCTCGAATTGGAGCCACTGTTGCAGGTCTTGCCGGGCGAATCGGCTTTGCTGGGCGCAGCTGGTGGCTTGTTGACCAGATTCTCCACGGATGATTGGCGGGAATTGAGACGCACTGCTTTCGGTGGTGACAGCTTGGACTTGTTGCTGCTGCTGTTGCTGGACTTGGAGTTGGCGACACTGACCAAAGCAGAACCATTGCTCTTGGCCGATGCTACCTCTTTGGTCTCCAAGCCGGGCGTGGATTTGGGTGAACAGCTGGCAACACTTGCATTACTCCGCGGTGAAGTCACCTCTTTGGCCTCCAGGCTAGGTGTGCCTGACTTGGGTGAATTGCTGTTGGATTGGGAGCTGGCATTGTAGCGCAGGTTGCTTATCCGATCCCTGTGGCTGTAGGTGGAACTGATGCTGCTGCTGCCACCGGATCCGGCGCTGTAGCGCAAATAGCGTGTGGAGTCATCCAAGCGATCCGATTGCATCTCCTTCTCCAGCATCTGGCGGGGCTTCGTCGAGCGTTTGATGGTCTTCTCAATGGTCTTGGCAATGTCCACGCGACGTGTTCGCTGCACAGTGGTGCTGCCGGGCGGAGTGGGTGAGGTGGCACGTGTGACCACCACAACGGACACAAATGTTTCCTCCTCACCCGTTGGCTGCTCCAGCTGCGATTCCTGCTGCTCCTTTGGTTCCTCTTTGGTCAACTGCACCTCTGGTTCGTCCAGTTCCTTCTCCCGGCTCGCCTTGGCGCGGCTGGCAGTCCTGGCATGAAAATCACTGGTGGTCAAGTAGGAGATGGACTTGTCCAGCATGCTGTTGCTGCCACCACTGTTCAATCTTGCTCCGGCGGCATAGCGACTGTTGTAGCCATTTCTGGCGGTGCTGCTGCGATAGGTGGCGCCTCCCAGCTTACTTCTCGCGCTGTCCAGCACCGGACTGGGATCCCGTGACTTGGACTTGCCGCGATTCGTGTGCTCCAGCGCCACCGGACTGGGATCCCGCGAGCGTCCGTATTTAGTGCCGCCCGTTCCCAGCTTGCTGCTTGCGGCGCCCGTGTAACGCTTGATGGGACTGCTCCGATCAGCGGAACTGCTGGCATCTTTGGCATCCGTCTTGGCAGTGCAGCCATAGCGACTCACATAGCTGGTGACTGGCGTAGCGGGTGGATCACGCTTTATGCGATAGGTGCCGCCCGAGAAGGAGGGCCGATAGGCGCTGGGCGTGGCCAATGAAGTGTAGCGGGAGGTGGAACCACTGCCCAAATCACCCCCTAGTGTATACTGCAAAAAGATAGGGTATCAATTGGGATTACTTTTGCGAGAGATGAGAGATTAGCACTCACAGTCGAACTGGCCGGTTTGTAGGCACTGCCCAAGTTCGATTTCCAGGGTGTCTGCAATATAAATTGGAATAATCTATTAAATGGTATATAAAAGAAGTCAATCAAGAAGGAAGTCAATTAAAAAATGTCTAATCCGGCTTAGTTTTATTGTATCTAAATAAGAAAATAATTTTTATTTAGTTTTATTATATCTCAATAAGAAAATAACTTTTATATAAAATAGCAATAAAGAAGTCAATTAATAAATTAAGAAATAATTCTCTAAATCTGTTTAGTTGTATTAAATCTCAATAAGAAAATAACTTTTTAAACAATAAAATCTGAGTGATTTGCATAAATATAAATTAAGAGATTTTGTAACAGATGTTTCAGATATAATTCTAAAAGATTTTTTTAATGATTGTTTATGAAATGATTTCATTTTAATCCATCGTAAAAAAGCAACTCAATAAACAGAATTTGGTGATTTTGGTTGTATTCGATTCAAGTGTCTCAATTGATAACTGGAATCAAATGAAAACTAAATTCAAATCAATTAAAGTGTACTTGATGTGCTGCATATTTGCAAAGCACTTTAAAGTAAAGTTGAATTTTGATTGATTGATGCACTTTGGAGCATTGTGTTCATTGAGAGATGCGTTCGACAATTATTCGCACACATTTTATCATCTGCAACAGACACAGAATGCTGCAGCAGCCGCAGAGGCTGGGGCAACAAATCACAGACACATCAACACCAACGAGCACACAAGAAAATTATCTTCTGCTCCCCACTTGGGTCACCTTCCCCTTTGGGCAAGGGAGCAGGCCCCCATCTCTCTCATTTGGGGCTGCTTTGAACTCGCCTGTGGCATTCGAATTTCTTTTTGGCTTTCGCTGCGTTGTATTTCAATTTCAAATTCAATTTCAGCTTCAATTAAATGGCGCTGTTGCATACATTTTTCAATTAATTTGGACGTGTAAACAGATTCATTTCGATTATTTCAACATCTGCGCTCTAATCGCGGACAGCGCACATCGCATTAGACAATTTCTGGGGCATATAGCAAATATATCATACATTCTATGTTGCACGGGGAACTACGAAAAGGGGCAACTCTATGTCCATTAATCAGACAGCCAGACATTAATAAATAATTATCAAAGCAGGACTTCTTAATCTCTATATAAGATCTGTATTTAAATGTTGGAATCGCGATTTTGTCTTGCTTTTCATGCTAAAATGATACACTCAAAAAATTACCCATAACTTTGTCAAAAACTTTAGCTTTTTATCATGATTTGACCTCTAGATTAATCCTACGTTTAAAGTTGAAAACGTGTTTCTGACTAGATTTCCATGTTAGAATTATACCCTGTGAAATTGGCTACCGGGTATGGTCAAACTTTCATCAGATATTAATTTGTTGGAAGTGAGCAGATTTTCAAAAATTGAATATTTTTGCTCACTAGAATTATACTTGGCAACTCATTTTGCATTCATTAATTTATTAAAATATTTGAAAACCAATGAAAGACAACAAAGCTGCCAAGCCAAATGCATATAATGAAAGATTGTTAAATAGATGAAGTCATAAAAAAGTTCAAGAAATACCTATGAAAATACCAGAGAGTATCGGAAGACCAATGAAAATACAGATCGAGATGCACAAAGTGGCAATAAAATCCACGATTTACATAGTAAAATGCGGAATTCTAAGATGCAAGAAATTCCATGACTTGATGATGATGATGATGATGATGATTACTGGTGGAGCTGTCCCAAGTGGAGCTCAACGCTGGCGCCACGCGGCTGCCACACGCCACAAAACACCGAATGACATGTATCATAAAAAAATGCATATATTGGCTGCAGTGCAGCCTAAGTAGCCTAGGACCGCCCAGCTTGTAAGAAGGGGCAGGGATTGGAGGAGCAGAGTTAATTGTTTTCGCTCAGCGAAATGGAATGCCAAACACAAATAGCACAACAATGTGCAAGGCAAGCAGCCAAAACCAATGTGGGGGATGAGGAGATAAAGAGATGAGGCAGCTGATGAAGATTTCCATGTGTGTACTTTGAGTGCCCACTCCAGAATGCCTATATCTCTATACCTATCTCTATCTATATCTATATATCTCTCTCTCTCTCTCTCTCTGTTGCTCTCTATTGCCTCGGTCTCTGACAGCGTTATTATGTGGACTCAATTAGGCGATGCCTATTCGGCACTAACAGGCACTATAAAGCCAGCCCTGTCTTTCAGTTGGCAATGTCTATAAAAAAAAATCAGACCCGGCAAATGCTTCAAATGCATTTAGCAAATGCGGCCCGTAAACCACCCAAACAACCCACATGTTGAGATGGGCAACAAAAAATCAAATTACTCGCGAAAATCAGATTCGCGTGCCGCCAGATAAATGATTTATATATACATATGTATATATATATATATACATATATATTTCTTTTTTAGATTATTTATAGTTTTTAGTGTCGTCGTCGTTGTCAAAAATACAAAACAAATGTGAGAAGCATAGAAATTTACAAGATGACAGAATGCGATTTGCATTCAGGCCAAATACCAAATATACTGTAACTATTTCTTCAAGATTTACTTAATAATATTATAATTAAATAAATATTTACTCTATATAGGCCATCCTTCTTGGCAATAAGGCATATTATCCAACTAAATCGTTGTGTAATTTCAAAAATGAAGCAAGAAACCCAACAAGAAGTGTTCAACAAATCCAACTGACTTGTGGGTTAGATGGACTAGCTGGAGAGCTACTACCGACAATGTGTGGAATACCCATAATAACAATAATGAAATGAAAATGTTTCGAATGCACTCAGTTCTGTGATTGTTTTAGTTTTTGTCATTATGTCCGATCGGCTAGCAAGATTAATGAAAGGCAAGTATATTTTGCTGGTGGACAATTAAACAAAACAAAAACAGAACAGCAATTTGAAAGGTTGCCAAACATTGACATCAAACTAGGGATATGTTCTCGGCAAGGGTAGCAGCAGGCCCAGATTCCGTGTTTCGGGCACAAATGGATCCCAAATGGGCGGCTTATGTGTGTGGTAATCCATCGCATCTCTCATGCCCCGCATGCCGAGCTCCAGGGCAGAGTGGGCGGAGCTGCAGCAGGCCGGCTGCTGTGTGAAGGGTCCATTGAAATGGATGTAGATGTCACCCTGACTGGCCAGATCCAGACCATACGTGGTCAGATCCTCGCCGGTGGCCAATCGCACATCATTCACCTGACTTCGATTCGCACGCAACTTGGCCGTCAAGCCCAGAATGCCAAAGATGTCCGTTAAAACGGAAGCTGACACACTTGGCCGACTCTCCTGGCAGATGACATCCGAGTGCTGGCCAAAGATATCCGTATATGTGGGCAGGCCGGGCAACTGATTGTGCATTTCGGGAAAGAGCCGATACTCCCAGTCACTGGCTGATGCTGGCACTGAGAGTGGCATGCATTGAATCTCTGTGGTTGCATCCGGCTCATCGCTTCTACTCTCGTTCTGCTGCTCTTCTTGACTCGCCTCGTTGTCGGCGGCAAGCAGCGGTTTTACCTTGCAACGTAATCGACGTCGTCGTGGCATTGTTGTTAACTTAAATTCAACTTTCAAATAGCATAGGAAAAACACACAACTGTTGTTGGCTTTCACATAGCCTTCCCTTCCCAACAATCCCAACAACACAAACAAATATCTAAAAATTCATGTATGGAATATTCACACTTTGTTAATTAATGAGGTGGTGCCTGGTATCCAACCCCTTTCACACCCAGCCCCAAGTCGACTAAGTTTCAGCTTTATGCGTCTCATAAATATTAACAACTTCCTTCTGGCCATAAAACTCCATAGCAGGAGCAGGCAAACTAGCAAACTAACAAACTAACAAACGACACAATAATAAAAAAAAATTACTTTTTTCACTTTTTCGTGCATTTTTAGAATTGTGCTCTCCAAAAATAGACTGCCTTCAATTTTGAGCTGGCAAACACTTCGAAGTGGAAACTTGTTGAGCACATTAACTGATCGGTTTTTGGGCGCAATCTTTAATTGATTTACAGCTGAAGAGTTTAGCGGGCACCAAAAGGCCGCATAAAGTCAACACAATTGACACGTTCGCTGGCCTGCTGCTAGATTTGTGTATAAAGCCAAAAAAAAAGCAGAAATTTATTGCCATAAAGCTAAGCGATTGCTTAAATTCACAAATATTCTATTGAGCAGTTCTCGAAACTAGTCAAAGTAGCACAAGTTCATTTATACAGATGTCTTTGTTCGCATAAGCCATAAATCTTACTTAATAACATGGGAAGACAAACCGTTTGCCATTTGAGAAAAAGACAAAAACACTTTTTAAAAGACCGCCCTCAACTAATTTGAATGGAATTCGGAACAATCGACTAACATACGAAAACTCAAACAAATATCAATTACCAAAATGTTCTGCAAAATGTTCGGCAGGCAAAAGTTTTTTGCAAATTGTTTATCATGGAACTGGGCCATTAACACTCAACTGAACTCGAACACCAAAAACCAACAACTAAGCAACTAAATGAGCCAAACAACAAAAGTTGGGAAAAACAAAGAAGTGCCCCAAAGGAAGAGCCAAATTTATAGATACAAATACATGTGTGTGTGTGTGTGTGTGTAGTGTGTGTAGTGTGTGTGTGTGTGTGTGTGTGTGTGTGTGTGTGTGTGTGTGTGTGTGTGTGTGTGTGTGTGTGTGGGTGGGTGTAGCGACGCAAACTAGAGGCTAAATAGATTGGCTACAGCAGCAATTAGACAACAAACAAAATTGAGAATTGCAAACAACGAAAAGAACTAGTGTAACAATTTAGATACACGAATGCAACAGATACACACACACACACACACACACACACACACACACACACACACACACACATGTATATGTAAATATAAAGAGTTTCAGATAGTTGGCATTAGGTTTACTTACATAACTGCGATAGGATGACATGTTGATTGCGTTATTTTGGCAAGTGTTTCACTCAGCAAATTGCGTTTTATTTTGTTCTTTTTTGTATTATTTTCTTCTTTTTTTTTTTGGTATTTTATTTTGTGTTAATTTTAACAATTGAACACATGTTCCTTGAGTAGATTTTTATAATATATTCTTTATTCTTTCACTTGTGCGATCACTTGAAATATTTCGCTTGTAATTCAATACGATTGATAAACACATAAAACTTATACACACACACACATATATATATATATATATATGTATATATTTATATATATATTCGTATATAGGCGGCAAATTAACTGCTGATGGCAATTAGACAAACGACAACGTTTCTTTTGGTTGCATCCACGGTGGCCGCTCAATTGCAATAGATGCAAAATAAATTAGATACATTTGCATTGGCGACAAAAGTGCCACAACGCGAGGCATCAGATACAGCGCAATTCAATGGATACATTTGCAGTACAACACACACACACACACACACACACATAGACAAACACACTTTGATTTCTCGACAAAAACGCAACTCAAACAAAAAGTTTTCCGTGCGTATTTTTGCACCGTTTCTGGGCTTGTGCCACTTTACATAATCCGCCGGCACGCAGCGTCTGCCGAGGAGCAGCAGCCGCAGGAGATGGAGGCGGCGGAGTCGCAGTTAGCTCTGGGATCATTTGAGAATGCAGCCGGCACATGCAAAGTCCGAGACTGAGACACAGCCTGTGGCAAATGCGACACGTCACGGTGCCTTTTATTTATGCGTTGATATTTTGTGCCTGTCGCTCCGATTTTTCTTTCTTTTTCTTTTTGTATTCCTCTTGCAACGCTTTTCTTTGTTTTGTGTGTGTTTTTTCCCGATATTGAGAAAAACTGTTGCTATTTATTTTTAAATTTAGCAAAAGACTAAAGTATTTGTCGCATGCGATCGCCGCGCGCGTTTCTATTTTTCTGGTGCGACTCGGCGCGTTGTCAAAGGAAAACTGCGCGTCGTTGGAAAATCTTGTGCTGAGATTTTCCCTTTGCGAGCGCGTGAAAAACTTTACGTGATTTTCGTGAGCTGTGCGTGTAGTATTTTGGGTGCCTCGAGAGAGATCGCAATCTCTCTCTCTCTCTCTCTCTCTCTCTCTCTGAGCATCATTTTATCTCTCTGTGCTCTGCGCCGTTTTAGTTTGGCTCGTTGCGTTTAGTAAATTGCAATAATGAAATAAATAATATAAGAATTGCCTCCTTTTTTTGTTTTGTATATAGCCACGCGTATATCTGGCAGAAATCGGGCGAACGCCACTATATGTATATAGCGGGTCAGCAGCACATTTCATCGCATGTCGAAAGTGTTTAATTTGGACAGCTGTTAGAATTTATAATATTTGTGTAATAGACAACAAATAACAAGAGCAAAATCGAAAGTATTCGGCCTTTTGCTTGGATTAAAAATATACTTGTCTATAATTAGCTAAGTCATTTAATATATATTCCGTTTGTATTGAGATTGGTATATTTGGATCCATGAGTAATGAACGAGTGGGCTTCAAGATGCGACAAATCTGGCTGGAAACTTGAAATGAAAATTGCTTGAATGTTTTGATTTAAGTATAGATGTTTAATCTATTAAGTAGCTAGAGATCAACTATTAACTCTTTCCTCCATTAGTCATATTCACAAATATGTATATATAAAGTATATTTATGGAGCTCTTTCCCCCCCCTACAAGCGAGCAAGTGTCTCTAATTTATCACACATATTTGCTATGCGAGTCTCTTGCATATCTTGTATATATATACATATGTGTATATATAATCGCAAGCTGTGCACTGATATTTTGTTCTTCATTTCTTCATTTAAAAATAACGATATGTGTGCCAGTTTTGCCAGTCATATAGATCCACACACACAGACACACACAGAGAGCACCGGAAGCATGCGGCTACCAAAGAGATGACGTCCATTCAAAAATTCAGAATATCAGAATATCAGAATATCAGAAAACTAGAATATCAGAGAACTAAACACAAAAGATACATTTGCGCCTGCACATGTTGTTCGTTGATCGTACATGAATATTTTGGTTTTATATTTTACTGAACATTTCAACTAAATAGTATGTGCGAGCCAAAATGCGAGCAAAAATCCATTCGATGGGTCTGAAAGCAAATGCCAGACTTCCTTTCGCTTTGCTTTTTGGTGGCGTCGGGCACATAAATCAGATTGGGCGACAAAGACGCTAAATTGCCTGAAAATCGGTGGCAAAGCTGAAAATTCTAAGCGGCCATCAATAGCTAATAGCCAAGAGTCGCAGGGAGGCCGGCGGTGTGGGCATGTTGGGGGTAGGTGGGTGTTGCAGCGCAGGATAGAGGGGGGGCAAAGTGGCTCGACACTTTGACGAAAGACATGCAGTGGTTGGTTGCAATGGATGCCTAAAGCTGGGGGCGTGGAAACTTAACCTAATCTGACCGACAGATACAAATAGCTTTCAACGCTGCATTAAAAAATAAAAGAGCCGCAACAGGCGTGCATTTTGCATGCTTTCCACAAATATTTTCCCAGTGCGTGCGAGACGCCAACAACAACAACAACAAGAGCAGCAACAGCAACACAAACGCCAACGCAGCCGCCCCAGAAATGAATGCAAACAAATCGAGAAAAAGTGTACAAAAAAAAAAAGAGAAAAAAAATCATTTGCCTCAAAACTAGAAATGAATTTGGGCAGGCCATAAAAAATACACCGACAGCCATAAAAGTCAAACCCGGCAATCCCCGGGAGCAGCCAGTGGGCCCCCATTCAGTAAGCGAGGCAACCAGGAGCAGAGGGGGCTGGTCGGGGAAACTGGGAATTCAATGCGTTCAGTGAACAGGCGCAAAACATTCAATCATTTCTACGATTTTGAATTTTTAATTTATGTTTTCACAGCAGCAACAAAAACAACAACAACAACAACAGATTATGCAACATGGAGATTGAAACACTAGTTAATAAAATTAATTCGGAAAGACAAGGGATGCAAAGGGGGGAATTGGTATTGGAATTGGAATTGGAAAGACAAGCGCATTTTGCTTGCGTGCCCATAAAACACAATCAAATTGTTGGGGGCATTAAAGAAAGTGTATATTATAACACATAATTTTCGAAGAAGTGCATGATAAACGGGGTTAATATATATATACATATTTTTAATCTGTGATCCAGCCTTTTTTTTTTTGTTAATAAGAAACATAAATAAGCACAACGCCTTCTCTGTGTCTTTCCACACTTTTGCCGGGGCAAACAAATACAGATATATATATATGTATGTATATATATATACAGCGAGTAAATCTCTGGATTTTTGAGCCAATAAAACGTTGCGTTGTCGATTGTTCCATTTATCCATGTCACTGCTAAAAATAATAAACGGAATTGGGCACGTTGAGAGCAAAATGCAGTTAATAGTTTTTTTTTTTTTTTTTTTTTTATTTACATAATGCGTCCGCATCAGATTTTGGCTAAACAAGTTGGTGCGTTTACATTTGGAGTGTTGCAACATATATTTAGTTTTCCCGTTTTCATCTTTCATGCTTCATTGTGTGCCAATATTTAATTTAAATATTATTCTTAACCAACCTCACTCTATGTGGCAATAAGTGACGCCTTTGTTTGCTTCTCCAGCCACTGCCGCTGGCGGCGCTATGGATTTGCATTCAAGGTTATCATCGACAATGGGAGCTGTGTGGGGCTGAAGTGCTGAAGTGCCACGTCTCAAGTATACTAAATGCGAGAAGGCAAAAATTACGCATACGCATTAAGCATACGCAACATAGTCGCTTGTTGAGTTTAATATAGTTTTTTATGGTCGTAATCGCAGGTTGCGCTGAAAGGCATTTGAAGGGGCAAAAATGTTTTGTTATTCTTGGGGCCCTCTTTCAAGTGGCAGCCTGACACAGATTCGTATTTGGAATTTATGTCAAAATGCTTGCACAAAAAACAGCCACAGCCTCTGACAGAGATTTTGTTTAATTTGTTTGCTGATTATCTCATACCAAGTGGTTTTTTAGATCTACTTTTGCAGATTATTCTTCGACTTTTAATTTGTTCTTTCTTTTATTTAAATTATACCCACCCCAAACAATATAATCTATACAGGGTATACTAAGAGCCATCAAAGCTTTGAGGAAACTTTGAATACATTTTTACATATCTATATATATTATTCGAAAAAGTTTTCAAAGTGTTGCCAGCTACAAATCAAAAGTCACACGAAAAGTGGGACGAAAACAAAACGACAAAGCAGAGCACAAATCGCTCGAGTAAACACGAAAATCGAACGAAAAGATAAAGAAAAGTGAAAAATACAAAATAATATTGTTAAATTTGCGAAAAATTCATCAAAGCAACTCGCAGGAAAAGTGCGAAAACAGCCGGCGTGGAAAAGTGCGTGCCAGAAACCAGTAACCAAATGCCACAAGTGTTGAGCAAGTCAAACAACGACACAGCCCTTTAATACTAATAAAAATAAATATATACTTACAAATGTGGTTGCATACTATATCCGACAGTTGACAGTCGTGGCTGTAGCCACAATGGCACTGCTGCTGGTCCATCTGCGTCGCCTCATTCTCCTGCTGAGCGTTGTCTATCTGAGTGGAGCTGCGATTCGCCGGCTGCTCACCGAACGACATCACGCCTATGTCCTGCAGCCGAGCCGCAGTAGATGGACGAAGGATCCGCTGCACTTTCAATGGTGGGCCTACATCTACACCTGCTACGCGTATGTGCTGCTGGTCAACTATGTCAGCATGCGGCGTTTGACCAACTTAATCGAGTTCTTCTTAACTTAAGTTCCATTTATTTCTTTCATTTGTATTATAGTTAATAAATCGTTTAAGGCAATTTTAGTTACAGCTCAGCTGGGGCACAATTTCCATTTAATATTCATTATGTAGATCGCTAGAGAGAAAAAGTTTCCACGTGTAGCGACATCTATGTGTCAAAGCTGTGATTCACTGGTTGTTGTCCGCGCTGTGAAAGATTTGAGTTAGCGAGGCGGGTTTGTGAACTGGCTAAAGCTCTGAAACGTTCAGAAAAGATTGCTTTAAGTTTTAAATATTTTCAGCTAATTAGAAACAATCTCAACGGTCGAAAATTAAATACTCTATGAGGTGCAGCTCTACATATAAATATCTATACTAATTATTAAAATAAGTCGAAGATTATTAATCATGTTAAAAATAGCTAGTAATTTTGTTTACCTTTAAGAAATAAATTCAAGTCTCTATAAAATGAATAATTTAAAATACGACAACCTATTTACATGCAAAATGACACAGAAACGAAAAATTGCAGCAAGAATACATTTTCGACTAATGCTCATTTGATTGAAATCGACAAATAAATTAATGTTGTTGACATCAATTCAATTCCCAATAAGTTTTGATGATTTATCACTTTGCGGAAATGTGTCGACGTCAAATGAAAAATGGCATTAAAATAAAGCATATAACAGCTATATATCTCTCTCTCTCTCTCACTTTCTCAACAGCTCTCTCTCAATAGGTCTCTCACAACAGCTCTCTCTCTCTCTCTCTCTCTCTCTCTCTCTCTCTCTCAACATCTCTCTCTTTCTCTTTAGCCTTCTAAACAGCTCTCTCAAGGACAAAGGATGGGAATCGGAATGTTAAATGCGATAGAATCTCAGACTAAAGATCGAAAGTCGAAGTCTTGGGATCTAGAGGATATCTAAATGAACATATCTGAAGTATTTTTATAATGTAAGTAGTATAGCCTAGTCGAATAATGCTTTGATTGGAATTGCTATTTGCTGTTGCATTTATTTATAATTTTCTCATAGGCGTTGCATGTAATACTTATTTAATTCAGAACGATAAATGTTTATTGCACTTAATGTTCTTTGGCAAGTTCGCACAGCATCCAACACATTCTACTATATTTATACAAATCAGACATATATAGATGGATACTATATCGGATCCAAGCAGTGACTCACAAGTTTTGTTGGCGGCGCACACGTCACAGGGTATTATTTGTGTTTGTCTCTATATGCTACAAGCAAAACACCCAGATTTGTCAAATCAACTTCTATATATATATATATAGACACACACACACGCACAGTGACTATTGACAGCCATTTCACAGTGTTGTGTGAATCATCAAACAATGTTTTTTGATGTGAAGTTGTCAACGACAAATTTATGCAAAACGCAAATTTTGCTCGGAGTGCAAATGCATTAAGCCCTAAAACGTTAGTTGTTTGCTTTATGTGTTTGTTTATTTTTGTTGTTTTTGTTTTTTTTTTTTTTTATGCATTTAAAGTTTATTTTTGACTCTTGTTGGAATTTCGTTGCCTTTACAAGCCACCCACAGTGAAGGAGTGATGGCGCCCACTTGAGCTTATCTGGCCAGCACTTAGCACTTAGGATGCGGGGCAGCTACACTCCACCCATCCTCAACACCCGGAGAATGCCTCAAGTGATCTTGGGCTGAAGCTGCAGCTTCCTCAAGTGAGCCGTGCAAAAAGTGGCAAAGAGCAGCACTCGTCAAATGGGCACACACACACACACACACACACACACACACTTTATAAAGCAGGAAAACACCTCATAGTCGCCACATCTATTTATATAACTGCATAGCAGGCGTGCCTGTGAGCGTATCTGTGTGTTTGTTTTTGTGTTTGTGTGATCATAACAATTTTGACCTAATTCTAAGTACGAGCAACACAAAGAAGATCAAGCGAAGCGAGTGATTGCTACCTTTCCACTGTGCCTCATATCTGCTCCTCTTCCTGCTTCTGCTGCATCTATCACTGACCTCAGCGCAACTGTAAAACGATAGGCAATGAGCCGGAAACTGGGGACAGGTGTGCCTTTTGTTTCCATTTCGAATTTTGTCAGGATTTGACAGTAGTTTTTTACCTGCACTTTGATGTTATTTAAATAAATTCTCGCGACATTTTTTTTTTTTTGTTTTTTGTGATAAAAGAAAATAGTCTTGTGCTGTTTTATTTTTAGCTGACTTATTTATCTTTTGTATCGCTTGCTACATATTCGCCAAGTTATTTTTAAATTATTACACATTCCAAAATGTGGCAAGCACACACAAAATGTTAAATATTATTCTGGGCCCCGCAACCCGTCCCCGCATTTTCATTATGTGTATATATACACATGGATAAAATAAATAAAATTATGGCCAGTGCTTTTCGTGGCACTAAGTATCTAGAAGATACGAAATGGCCAACCAGCCATCTTTATATATATATATATATATATATGTACATATGTATATGTATATATGAAGATACTATAGTTGCCGCCGGCCCATCTACATTTTATATGGCCTCTGGGTGTGTATCTATATACACTCAGGTGAAATGTGTGTGGAAAACGAACATGATTATGAGCAGAGAAATAGTGAGCGGGAGAAAAAAACAACAGTCATACATATAACGATAAATTCAGTTGCTAAAAATAAGCGAAAAATCATTCTTAAGTATAGTTATGCATTTGTGTGAGTGTTTGGGGCACTTTGCACAGGTGGAGAGGCTGGCAGAGATCGAGTCAAATTGATTTTCACTCGGGCAAAAAGCTCTTTGGACAAACTGAGCCAAAAACATGACACTCCAAATGTAATGGCCATATTTTCCAATAGGCAAAATATTATATTTATATATTTACGTATGTGTAGATATAGATATATATATATATACATATAGATAATCTTGCCAGTTGCCAGTTGTCAAATTCGTTTTCCTTTTTTTTTCTATGTTCTTTTATATGGTCGCCCATTAAAAAAGCATTGTTAAATGACAGCACTTTGTCTGCACAGCAATATGGGCCAATAAAAAGCAGCTAATGAGCTGGCCAACAGTTTTTGAACATTGCCAAGGATTCACTCATCTTGATCTCAAGTACATAAGATATTTCTTTTATTTTATGAAACAGAATAATGTTTTGATGCCAAATATTTATAGCAGATTTGATGATAAATTACAAAAAGAAAAAAAATACGAAAAAATGTTGAACGTCAAAATTTTGAAGAATTCAAATAAATTTGGCTACTAAAAAATATGTAAAAAATGCAAAGAATAAGTTTAGATTATTCAGTAAATGAAAACAGTGTTTTAATTAAAGTTAGGAAATTCTACAAAATCGAGTATAATAAGAAGTAACAATATTGAGAATTTAATTTTAGAAAACTGAAATTGTTCGATATTTATTCTACCAACTAGGAAGCCTGTTCAATATGTATACACAATTTGAAAGGCAGATACACAAAATGAAAGCCACGAAAAACATATATTCACTAACACACACACAGAAACACACATACATAGACACATATGTATATATATAAATGACATCGGCTAATTACAGGTAAGCGAAAAGAAAAACAACAACTTGGAGTTTATTTTGGGCTTGCTTCGCAAACTGGCGTGAAAATGCGTTCGCACTAAGGCGGCAGCAAGACAAAAAAAAAATACAAAAAAAAACACAAAATTAAAAAAGAAAAAAAGATCCAAATCAAAGAATGTTCCACACAACTGAGCAATTAACACGCACGTAGAAAATGCCTCGAAAGCTGCTCTGATGGAAGGATAGGGAAGGGGGGGAGGGGTGGCCAACAAAAAAAACTCACTCAAAATACTCACAGGAAAAGCCGAAGCGTGAAAAGCACACTCAAAATGGGGGAGCCGAGCGCTGAGCTGTTCGGATTCGTTGAAATAGACGAATCCACAAGCGAGCAGCGACCAAATAAACGAAATACTCTTTATTCGAACGACAACGGGATCTCTTGTTCAGTAGATCACCAGCCTTACTCCGACGTTTATTACGAATTATTCGGTGACTCGGTGACAACTACACAAAACTGCGTGCGGTGCTGTAGAGATTTTCGCTTGATATTGTGAAAATTCTAAATAAAATAATATATATATATCTATATATACA